GGTTAGGAGCTTTCTTTGGCGAGTTTGGTGGTAAGGAGCTCCCTTTGACGAGCTTCATAGTTCATATGTATTATTAATCATAGGTTATTCACAAGATAGGAATTGCAACGAAGGTAAGGCTTTACCAATCAAAGTAGGTTTTCACGTGTATCTCCTGGTGATTCAATCCATAACTCGTTAACTTAACACTATGGCATTGTAATCTTTAAGTCTGTTGAATGACTATGTTTGTCTTGGGTTGAAGAGACTCTTGTATGGCGTTTCATTGGAATTCGTAGCTTACTTTCTGCCTTATTTTCATTATAGAACTCTGTGGACCTTGGGGTGCCTGTTCGAGTAATCCGTGGTCATGAATCTGGTAGCAGTTACTCTGGAAAAGTGTATACATTCGATGGCTTGTACAAGGTAATTTCATGAAACATTTATAGGCTTGGGTTTATGAATCTGCATGACATGTCTTCATCAGTATCATGTTATATCTTGTGAAAATTAATTAATTGGAAATCTACTTTTCCCCTTTGCTGTATGAACTACGATGATTAGAACTATAATCTTGTTCCTAATCCTAATTAATCATGAACAGTTTGAATGCATAAAATTATATTTACAGTTCCTTCTGTGATAAATTGGATGGAATTTGAAAATTTTTGAGGATCGTTTTGTGTTTTATATGATTAACTTACCTTGGTGCCTTTCACTGTTTTTGAGAAAACAAACTGTGAGGCAAAATCTTTCCTATTGTTCGAAGCCAAAAAATTTGAAGTGATCAGATGACTAGATTTTGCTGAAAAGATAATTTTAAGTAGCAATTTCTTGCTTGTCTTCTTGATAAGTTACACTTCAAGCTTTTTATTTCTCATGTGCCATTGTTTGAATGATGCTCTTTGAGTGTCTTTTGCCTTGAAAAAATCTTCAGTTTTCTGGTTGATTTATCTGCTTGGTGTTGTAGCCTTGTATTCTTTGCTCATGAAAGACACGACATATCATTTTTCATAATATTTGAAATTTTGTTTAAATACTAGATGGTATTCTTTTAGCTAGTCTTCTGAAAATTAGCTTTCTTTTATATGGAGTGTTTCCTTTAGATTTATTTTGATGATAATAAATCAGTCTTTATTGATTTGAGAAATTTAAGTTACTTTATACCAATAAGATGTAATGCATTTAATTTCCTGCTCACTATTTGCAGGTTGTTCAGTACTGGGCAGAGAAGGGTATTTCTGGGTTCACTGTTTTTAAATATCGTTTGAGGCGTCTTGAAGGACAGTCAATATTAACAACTAACCAGGTTTTCTATCTGGTCTATGATTTCTTGGGGCTAATTGCTCTAATTCTATGGGATGGTTATTTTCGAACACAATGTTATTTCTAGTGTACTTTCCCTGTAACTGAACTTCTGCATGTGAACTGTAACCAACTTCTGAGGAATTGTAGTGTATGTTTTGAATAAATAAAATGAATGGGAAATGGAGCGGACTATCTAATCTTGGCAGTGACTGACTTCTAAGATCAGGAAAATATCTATTTTTTATGCAGATTGATGGAATGAGATGCTGGACACAAGTCTTCTGATATTTTAGAAATTTTGAGACAATTGTTGAAACACTTTACTCACAATTGAATGATCATATAGGATTTTGGAATTTTCTGTTGGTTATTGTAAATTTTTTGTTCATTCTTATGACAGGTTCAATTTACCTTTGGGCGTGTTCCCAAATCTTCTTCTGAAATTCGCGGGTATTGAAGCTATTATAGAAAATAACTTCTTACTGTATGTCATTATTTCCGGTCTCTCAATTCTGTTGTTTTATTGGTTAAGGTTGGTGTGTGAGGACATAAGTGGTGGTCAAGAGGATGTTCCTATTCCTGCTACTAATTTGGTTGATGATCCACCTGTTGCACCGACAGGCAAGTTCTACTTTCTAATGTGTTATTTGATTTTCATGCACAATCTAATCAATAATATATTACAAATCTAATTTGTCTATAAGAATGAATACTAGTTTCACGGCAAGAAATTTGCTCTTCTCATAACATGGGGGTTCGTGGGCTTCTGGCCAACCACATCATCCACCAATTTTTTTCTATATCTTGCACTTTTTCTCTTCTTAAATTTCAGCATGAGTTCTTGTAAACCTCATCACATGTGAATAAATAGTCGATTGATTCCCCTTTCTGGTTGTTCTCCTAGTTGGCTTTGCAGTGTGATCTGCTGAAAGAGGTCCTTTTTGAAGGTCCAACAATCCTCGTTTCTAAGTGATTTTCCCTTCTATCATCAGTTAACACTAACTATTTTCCACATGCACAATTATTTTGCACATTTCTTATGCTATTGGTACTCATTTTCTGCCTTTTCTCTTATTTTGTTCGTTCTTTTTAAAAATAGCTTCCATTTGATGCAATGATATGCATAATATATTGGTATAATTCATTTTTTTTCTTTGTTTTTCAGGTTACACTTATTCCAAGTCTATGAAAGTTGCAAGGAATATAAAGCTACCTGCTAATGCGACTGGATGCAATTGCGAGGGAGCTTGCTGGGATCCCAAGACTTGTGAATGTGCCAGGCTTAATGGTTTTGATTTTCCTTATGTGCACCGTGACGGCGGCAGGTAAATTTTTTGGAATAAGAACTAAGAAGTCTTAATAGCTAATGTCATCCTTTGTAATCTTGTTTAATAGCTAATGCCATATTCTTTAATCTTGTTGTTTAAGTTTCTTGCTTATTAGCACTCTTCCACTTCTTCAATTCTAGATTAATTGAAGCCAAGCATGTTGTTTTTGAATGTGGTCCGAGTTGTGGCTGTAGTCCAAATTGCATAAATCGTACATCTCAGAGAGGATTGAGATTTCGACTTGAGGTTTCTTATTACATTAAGAATGCTTTCTTTGCTCATTTCTTTATTTAATCTTGTGATGAATTCTGGTTGAAACATCTCTCTGACTGACCTGAATTGACAGGTCTTCCGTACTCCGAAGAAAGGATGGGCTGTTAGGTCTTGGGATTTTATACCTGCTGGTTCCCCAGTTTGTGAATATATTGGAGAACTCAAGAGGACAGAAGAGCTTGATAGTGTCTCTGAGAATAATTATATTTTTGAAATTGATTGCTTGCAAACTATGAGAGGGCTAGATGGCAGAGAGGTATAACTGACCTCTTTAGAGCACTGTGATGCATCTAGCATTATGTTTGAGGTTGAGTATTTTGTTCGGTCTGATGGTGACATCCAAAGGGTCCAATCCAACAATAAATTGAAGTTCATAGGGAATAGTTTCTTTTAATGAAACATCATCTTTCTGATCGGTGATATGCTTGATTTTACTGCTGTGAAGTGATAAATTAGTTGTTTTTACCTGCATGTAAGAATGTAATTAGTGTTTTTCTTTTCCTTGGCAGAGGCGACAACAGGATGGATCTTTGCCGGTGATCCAAAATGTGGACAAAATTGATGAACCGAGGTCAGAGAATGTGCCAGATTTCTGCATCGATGCTGGTTCTATTGGAAATATTGCAAGATTTATCAATCATAGCTGTGAGCCTAATCTTTTTATCCAGTGTGTCTTGAGTTCACATCACGATCTTAAACTAGCTCGAGTGATGCTCTTTGCAGCAGACAACATCCCTCCTTTACAGGTATTTTTCCTCCAATTCTGACGTGTGGAGAGTGAATCACCTTTTAAATTTCTTGGGAACAAGTTCAGCAGCAATTTATTTATTTTAGCATAATTTCTTGTATTTTGCTTCAAAAATTATGATAATATTTGGAGCACTAGCCTCTACTTTTAGGTCCCATGCATCATTGATATATCAGTAGGTTTTACTACGATTTCTTTATATTTTCTCTTGGATTAGCGGGAGCTTCGAATGATTGGATACTATTTTCTATAATCTTGCTTGCAGGAGCTTACTTATGACTATGGGTATGCCCTTGATAGCGTATATGGTCCTGATGGGAAGGTAAAAAGGATGGCATGCTATTGTGGAGCAGAAGGTTGTAGGAAGCGGCTGTTTTAAGTGCTGAAATTGATGTTTTCTTATGTAGCATGCATGTATGTATCTGCGTTCTGCATTGATTCGAGGTGCTGCTAGATGTTATGGATCTTTTTTGGTGACAATTTTTTGTTGCAACATCTCCTCAGTCCCCTCGCCTCGCCTGTACAAGAAATACACTAGATACTGATTATATATCATTTCATAGCTGTCTTCCGTGTTGGATAATTGGAATGAAAATTGAAGTATTTAGGGTTCTGTGAATGGGAAATTGGGGATGGGAAGAATGAATGATAATTGATAACCATGTAAAAGTATGGAGTGCATGCTAGAAGTATCGGCCTAATTGAGGCCCATGGCCCATGTTCATGATTCTAACTGAGATTAAAAACGACGATTATGAGATAAATTGTAATAAATTTTTTTGCATGAACCATTAATTGAAAAAATACTTTGAATATTTAAGAAAAAAAGATTGTATATTGAAAGCATCTATTTTTAAAAAATTTTTTTGATACTTATTCTCACAAAATGATAATTTTATGTATTTATTTTAATTAAAAATATTTTAAACACTTAGATAAAAAAATAATATATTTTAGATATTTACTCATGTTATAAGCCTAAATAAAAGATTAATTGAATAAAATTTAATGATAAATTTATTTTAGCCATTACAAAGTATAAAAAGGTATAAATTTACTTTAGCATTAGATCTCTTAAGAAATGTTAGGAGTTTGAATCATGACGATTACGAATTGAATAAACTGAGTTTGAAGGGTTATCCTTATTTTTGTTATACTTGATCTAAATTAATCGATCAATAGATTGAATACTGTGATTATAAATAAAAAAAAGTACATATCAAAATAGATAAATGAGCGTGGGGTAGTGCATGCCCAATAATTTATAGAGCATAACACTCCTGCTGAGAAAACCAATGTCGTTTTTATAGGACTTTCACCGCACAGAACCATGAAATCCAAAGGGGGATTGTTGCCAGTACAAGTGGCTTAAACGTGCCACACTCAGATCGACTCGTAATGAAACCACACACACCAACCGCTGCACTTAAAAATATCGCTTCGCTTGCACCCTCTAAACCTGCCATCTCCCTCCAAAATGTCGAAACTTTCATCGACGCCCGAAGCATCAAAACGGGTTTCGATCGAAACACCTGCCGTTCCAACTTTATGGTTGAAAGCCTCCTCAGGAAGGGAAATCTCTCGGGAGCTCGTCAGTTGTTCGACAAAATGGCTAACAGGAACACTGTATCTACAAACATGATGATTTCGGGTTATGTCAAATCAGGAGATCTTTTGAGAGCCAGGGACATGTTTGATGCCATGCTTGATCGAACTGCGGTTACGTGGACCATCATGATTGGTGGGTACTCGCAGAAGAGTCAATTCCATGAAGCCTTTAGGCTTTTCGCTGAGATGCGAAGACATGATACACAGCCCGATCCTGTGACTTTTGCTAGTCTTTTATCAGGTTGCAATAACGCCGAGGCGGACAAGGAATTGATTCAAGTTCATGCTTGCGTGCTTAAGTTGGGATACCATTCCAGTCTCTTAATCTGTAATTCGCTGGTTGATTCTTATTGCAAAAGTAATCACCTTGATATGGCTTCTCGGGTTTTCGTTGACATGCCTGAAAGAGATTCCGTTTCTTTTAATTCAATGATCAATGGGTTTGCAAAAGATGGTCTAACTGAAGACGCGATAACACTCTTTCTGGAGATGCAAAATTGCGGTATAAAGCCTTCTGATTTTACTTTTGCTGGAGTTTTAACTGCTGCTGTTAGATTAAATGACTTGGTCTTCGGGCAACAAATTCATGGGTTTTTGGTGAAGACCGGGTTTGTTTGGAATGTCTTTGTGGGAAATGCATTGCTTGATTTCTACTCGAAGCATGATTGTTTAGTTGGAGTCAGGAAGTTATTCGACGAGATGCCGGACTTGGATGGCATTTCTTACAATGTAATCATCACATGCTATGCGTGGTTTGCACAGCATGATGAAGCTATTAGACTCTTCCGTGAATTACAGTTTACATGCTTTAACCGGCGGCAATTCCCATTTGCCACCATGTTGAGCATAGCAGCTAATGCACTAGACCTGAAAATGGGGCAGAAAATCCATTCCCTGGCTATCGTGACTACAGCTGCTTCAGAACTTGTGGTTGGGAATTCTTTAGTCGACATGTATGCGAAATGTGGCAAATTTGAAGAAGCTGAAAAGATATTTAGGACTCTAGCCAAGAGAAGCACAGTTCCATGGACTGCCATTATCTCAGGTTATTTTCAGAGAGGATTCAACGAGGAAGGCCTGAATCTGTTCAATGAGATGCATAAATCTGGTGTAAGAGCAGATCAGGCCACGTTTGCTAGCATCTTAAAAGCATCTGCTAATTTGACTTCACTATCACTGGGGAAACAGATTCACTCATTTATAATCAGATCAGGCTTCGTGTCAAATGTTTTTTCAGGAAGTGCACTTCTGGATATGTACGCGAAATGTGGCTCCATAAAAGATGCTATTCAGCTTTTTCAGGACATGCCTGAAAGGAATATAGTCTCTTGGAATGCCTTGATCTCAGCCCATGCTCAAAATGGGGATGCTAAAGCCACCCTTGATACATTCGAAAAGATGGTTCAATCAGGTTTCCAGCCGGATTCAGTCAGTTTCCTCAGTGTTTTATCTGCTTGCAGTCACTGCGGACTTGTTCAAGAAGGGTTGAGATATTTCAGAACCATGACTGAAATTCATAATCTTGTTCCAAAGAAACAACACTATGCGTCGATGGTTGATATGTTATGCCGGAGTGGACAGTTTCATGAGGCACAGAAGATGATGGCTGAAATGCCATTTGAACCTGATGAGATTATATGGTCATCGGTTCTAAATTCTTGTAGGATACATAAGAACCAAGAATTAGCTATGAAAGCAGCAGACGAGCTATTCGGAATGGAGGTGCTTAGAGATGCTGCTGCTTATGTCAGTATGTCCAATATCTATGCAGCAGCCGGCCAGTGGGACAATGTTGGGAAGGTAAAAAAGGCGATGAAAGATCGCAGAATTAGGAAGGTTCCGGCTTATAGCTGGGTTGAAGTAAGACACCAGCGTCATGTGTTCTCAGCAAATGACATGTTACATACTCAGATGGAAGAAATCCGGAAAAAGATCGATATATTGTCGGAACGGATGGAGAAGGAAGGTTACAGGCCTGATACAAGTTGCGCCCTTCATGATGTAGACGAGAAAATGAAAGTTGAGTCTCTTAAGTACCATAGTGAGCGGTTAGCAATTGCATTTGCGCTGATAAGTACACCCGAAGAATCACCAATACTAGTGATGAAGAACTTACGGGCATGCACAGACTGCCATGCTGCAATCAAGGTAATCTCAAAGATTGTTAGAAGGGAAATCACAGTGAGGGATTCAAGCAGGTTCCATCATTTTAAGGATGGAATCTGCTCCTGTGGGGATTATTGGTAGTTCATAGAAGGCATATTGCCTTGTTGATTGGCCTGATAGTCCATTGAATAATTGATTTCACCCGTGTAAGATCTCTGACCCATTGTTTTCAAGACTGTAAGTAAAATAAGATATAGAGTTGTTCGAGTTCGATTTGATCAAAATTCTGTCAGCATTTAAATTGAATGGATTAGACTCGAACTCAACTGAATGCTTAACAAGCCAAAACGAAATATACTTGATATCCGACTCAAAATAAATCACGAACAACTCAAAAATAATATTATACATTAAAATTTGTAATTTTTAAATTAAATTATTAAAAATATAAACATGTTTTTTTAAATGTTTTGATTACACTATTCTTTTAAATATAATACTCTATCCATTTCATAATTTGTGTCTTATATTGACTGTGCACATAATCCATATAGTACATTTGACAAAATGAAATGATATAATTATCCTTAAAAATTGATTGATAGATTTAACGATTTGTTTTGATTCGTATAAAAGAATAAATAACATAAGGATAAAAATATAAATATTATTTGTGGACTTTTCAAAATCCAAACGAGACATATTTAATGGAACGATGGAGTATAAGAATTTCATGTCCTTAAGGTTTATATCCAAGTTTAAGTTCAAGTTTATACCCAACTTGAGTTCAAACTTCAATCATGCTAACTTTAAGAATAAATTTGAGTTCAATCTCAATTTTTTTTATTTGAAGCTGAAGTTGAGGTAAAAATTTTTAAGTTAACAAATTTTTAGATCGAAGCAAGTTCAACTTTGTACTTCAGATCGAGCTTAGCAATATTCGAGCTTTAGCTTTAGCGTTAAATCTCTAATTGTTTCCATTTTGTAATAATCCTGAGTTAAACATACAAGGATTCCACAGGTTCATTCAGTGGTGAAGCTTGTATTGAGCAGAAGATTGCTAATTGACATATTATGATTCCATTTATCTTCTCCTCTATCCATTTCTACTTTTCTAGAACACCATTGAACTCCTCAAAAGAAACCAAATACAGAATTTCAAATTCATTAATCCAAAATAAAAGCATTACTTCTTTCCAACAGAAGGAAGCAACAAGGCACATATAACAATAATAAAAGGGAAACAAAATTGAAACTAATAAAGGGGTTTTCCTAGTAATTATCATTACTTGGATTTCTTGTTGAGGAAATCATCAGGGACAACTTGAAGCAACTTCTTTTGCTTGGACTTGGCAATCTTCTTCAGAGTCTTAGGGTTTGTAATCTTCTGAAACTTAGTTCCAGACCTCAATATGTTCTCCTTCTTCTTCTTCTCCCTCTCCTCTCTCTTCTTCCTCTTCTCCAACTTGCTCTGCCTTATCTCTTCCTTCAATTCATCAACCCTCTCTCTATAAGCTCTCTTTATCTCCTTTTGCCTCTCCCTCTCCTCCAGACTCGGCCTCTTTATACTCACGTGCTTCGCCGACGCACGCTGCTTTCTAGGTTGCTTCCAGTTCCGACCCGACACCCTTCCGGCGATCACGCCATCGTAGGTGGGTTGACCGAAGGTAGGTTTGTTGGGGTCTTCAGAGGAAGGCACCGCTGAACGCTTTGCGGGTGGGGGACAAGAATCATCGACATCCATGGAGGAGGCGGCTGCGGTAGCGTCGTTGAGATTGGCAGTATCGGCAGAGACCTGAGATTCTTGGCGCTTTCGCTTGTAAGTTTTGCCGCCGAAACCCTCATCAAGGCGGCGAAAATCAATAGTGCAAGCCATGATGTGGGTTTGGTTCTCTGTGTAAACCCTAGAAAGAATTGTATTGGCCTTACCGTTGAGACTGAGAGAGTTATATAAGGGTGGATTTGACTTGGGCTATTTTTGTTGCCATCACAATAACTCCGCCCATTAAACCATTATTGCGTTTTTGGGCTGGATGGAGTGAGTCTCGGTAAGGATCTCAATCCAGCCGATGAGCGAATTTGATGGTTGTTTCATCGGAAAATATCTCAAATTTTGTGAATCTCGACTGAAATATTTCGTCTTTCTCACTTTTAATCTCAAATTTGTAAACTTCGGAGTAAATTTCAACAAAATCGAGATCGGATTCAAACTCACGGTGTCAATGATTGAATTAGCTTTCTACTCTATAAACATAGCAGCTGCTTCATAGCTTTGCAAGTTCTCTAGTACACATGCTTGAATTAGCTTTCTACTCTATACCATAGCAGTTTTTATCTGTGCTCTCCTTTTTGGGTCTTTTTCCCCTTAAGAAATACTAGGATTTCATCTATCAATGCAATAAAGCACATGTAACATATTCATGGGATCGACTTAGGGGTGAGCAAAACTCGATTCGATTCAAAAAACTCATTTTTTCAACTCGATTTGAAATGATTTCGAGTTGTAATTTCATACACTTATCTCGACTCGAAAAAATTTCAAGTTCAAATCGAGTTGTAAAGTACAACTCGAATAACTTGAAATTTTTAGTAATTAATCGATGAATTTTTAAGTTTGAGTCGAGTCCCTCAATTATGTATGATATATGTATATCACATATGAAAGAAATATACATCTATTGTATTTTTTTAATCAAAAATCACATATGAATGTATTGTTATATATATAAAATTTTAAGTCAACTCCGAATTGTAAAATAAGACTCGTTAACTTGAACAACTCGAAATTTTTTTACTCAACTCGATCGAACGTTCACCCCTAGATGGAACCCTATTCCATGTCGATTGTAAAACCCTAAACCCTTAAATCAAACCCTAAGACAATTTATTGTGTTCAACGAGAACAGCAGCAGAACCAACCATCACATACTATCATTTATCAGTACCGGTGCTCATTGTAAAGAGTTTATGAGTCTGCTACAAGTCTTAGAGAATTGAGATGGAATAATAGTTTCAAAAAGGCAACATCTAGCAACGCCAGCAGTAATTGGCTATCTAAATAGCTGCTCATCAAAATCATTCATAAAGAATTAACATTTCTCATCATCAATATGCAGAATCGCATTGATCTAATTCAGGGAGATCACTTTCAAAGAATGTTGAATGAAGAGCCCTCACACACTGCTCTGCTTCACTGTCGTGTACTATCAACGATATGTTAACCTAACAAGTGTCGACACAAACTCTGTGTTACACATACATCACAACAAATAGAGTTGGTAAATATCATGCCATTGCTAACACGATCAACTGACCTTAGATGCACCCTGAGAGATCATTTGAACATTCACTCCATTGGCCCTTAAAACGTGGAATGCCTGCCATGACATCCAGTTACCCATGTTACCGATGTTTATTTTTGCAAACAAGATTTTCATCCATTGGCAGTATTGACAGACTATAGCATATGCAGCAAGAGAGCAGACAGATCGAAACAAACAGATTTATACAAACACAAGTAATCTGCAAGGGCCCCTTGGAAATTGCAGCAAAGAAGAGCTCCATCTTTGCTTATTCTGAATATCTTCAATTAAAACTAAAAGATTATTTTCAAGTTTTAAGCTTCTTTGCATGCAATGTGATATATAGGAGTACCTTCTCAAGTATAAGTGAGGATCTCTGGACATTGCCAATGAGAGAAATGATAGATCTGTGCTGAAGAAGATTGACAACAGCAATTCTTTCAAGTTCTTCTACAACATGGTCAAGTTCCTGTCAAGTGATACAAAAAGATGTTAAAGACGGTGAAAATGGTTTGAAATCGTTCTGCAGACAGGCATAAGATCTGTACGAGGTAGTATCAATTAAAGCATGAAGAATGGAACCATACGCTTGCCTGCTGAATTAACTCTCTGCTCCAAAGTTTTGATGGATCCAAAGTCAAAGAAATACTGACTTCACTAGTAGCAACAACATCCACTGAGATACCTAAATCTTCAAAGATCGAAAATACCTGCACAGACAAAAATGATACGAACCAACTTCACAAGAGAAAAAACCAATGGATAATTACCACTAAAATTAGGAATGGCCTTCTAACCTTTGCAAGAAAACCAAATTGACCAAGCATGCGTGTGCTGACAATATCCAGCATGGTGACATTCCTTTTTAACACTATGCTGGTGAGTACTGCCTGCGATAGGGGCAAAATTATTAAAGCAGTTCAGACTTCATTAAAAAAACATTACACAAGCAACCAGCCGCTCCATACCTTACTCATATCTCTATTCCTGGTAATGAGAGTTCCAGGAGCATTTGGATTGTAAGAATTTTTAACCCTAACAGGAATATCACCCTCTCTAGCTGGTCTCATGGATTGTGGATGCAGAACCTGAAGAAGGGCATGACAATCATCCAAATTCACTCAGTTTCCCATGCTTCAATCATGTAAATGATAACTACTTCCAAGGATGGAGGGCAAAAGAGAAGTCATGCACACATTTATGAATGTGTTTCCACCAAAGCTTGATAATTGTTAAGAAACAAAAGAGGGAAACAAAAGCAGCAAAGCAATTATAGCACCTCAGCACCAAAGTATGCAAGTTCAGCTGCCTCGTCGAATGTCAGATACGGGACAGGTTCTGCATGTGGATATATGTTCGGGTCACAAGTTAAAACACCATCAACATCTTTCCATACCTGTAACGAAAAAAAGTATACTGTTATAACTTTTTCAAAAGAAAGGAACACCATACTATAATCAAGGTATAAACTTGTAAGCACTTGTTTTTGCTACAACTTTGGGTCTCCAGTACATATTGCACTTCTAGATGCATGTTGTATGAACATGGTGGCATCCATCCAGAAAATGATAAGAAAAAGAATATGGCACTGCCTATCATCATACATCAGCAGGTTTATGACATACACATTCAGAACTTGGACATGCACTGACCTGAATTTCTCGCAACCCCAATGCTTTTCCGATGGTTGTGGCTGTCAAATCACTACCACCCCTACCTAAAGTAGTAATTGCACCAGATCTCCATCCCTACAATAAGAAGTTATCAAGATAAGAAGCAATTACCAAGAGATCCTACCAAGAATCACCTATTTAAGAATGAAACCACTTCAAAAAGGCATACAGCATTTCTACCTTTCCAAGGAAACCAGTGACAATTGGGATTGCAGGATCACTGGTCCAATCTTCATTTAATCTTTTTGCAACAGCTGGGTAAGTTGCTTCCAAAATATCAGCATTTGTGAAGTCATCAGTGGTAATGAAACCAATTTCAAAGGCGTCATACTGCATACAGGACACTGACTTATAATTAGAAGTCCTTATGTTGGTGGTTATAAGGAAATGCAGAGAATAGAGTACCAAGCATAAATTAATCATGGAAAAGTCACGTACCCTAGCCAATGCTAATGTGAAATTTAAACCACAGAAATTTAACTTTAGGATTGGGAAACAGACATCAAGGGATGTTTTACTTAGAGGAATCCCATGATGAAGATTAAAAAACTGGTTAAATTATTCGATGATTATACCAACGTACACAAATTCTACATATAGGAAAAAGAAGAAGAACAACATACTTGACGGGCCTTAACACCAATTTTATTCAAATATGCTGCAAAAATCCTCGTAGACATGCACTCCCCAAATGAAACTAAATAGTCTTTTGTTCGTAATGTTAACTCTTTCATCATAGCAATTCCCTTTAAGAGCTGCTCCAGCACTTCCAAGTGACCTACGAAAGGGTTGTTCATGCAAAAAAAAAAAAAAGCATGACAGAACCCAGCATAAGTAACCCTAAGCTAAAAGAACAGAAGAAGAGACATCAACAGGAAACTAAATGAAGAAATAAGTTTCTTGAGGTTAGACAAGAAAGAAGATTTGATGTCAGCTCAATAGTAGATCATATACTCACCATCAACAATTGACCTTGCCACTCCAAGCTCATCAGCCGTCCTGGATTTTAAAGTTGACAAGAAGAGGGAGCAAATTCAAATAATAACCCTTTATCTTTAAAACCAACACACAAAGGAGTGGGAAAAAAAAAAGAAACAAAAATCCTTCCAATTGCTTTGACCTATGATGAAGCTCCTGTATAAAGCTCAACTCTTCTAAACCATCTACATTAGTGACACCACAGCTAACAGCCTTTTCTCCAGCCTAATCATCAATCAAAAACCAACTTCTTAGCAAACCCTTCACTTCTACAGTCTAAGAAATTAATGGTTAAAAAACAAATGATAAAACAGTAAATTAAGTGAGGATTACCAGCAAAAGCTTATTGGTAGTCTTTCCCATTGCAGAAAGGACAATGACTGGTCTTTCATTGGGGAAACTGAGTATAAGGTCAGCAACCTCTCTCATTCGCTCAGCCGAAGCCACTGAGGAACCACCGAACTTCATCACACACGTCAATTGATTCTCCGCTTCACCGAAACTTACAGCCTCAAACTCATTCCTTTGGACAACATCCACGTTTCCCCCTTGGCAACTAACTCTAAACACCCTACTTCCACCACAACGTCTTGGGCTGATACAAAAAGAATTCGAAGGGCTAATCGCAGCAAAACTAAGCAGAGTTGGCGACACCCATTGGCGTTTTAAATAAGTCTGCTTTGGGATTGAATGAGACGGAGCAGGACATCGCAACGAAGCCGACATCTTGCGCTCAACGGAGCTCGTAAATTAGTTGCTTCGACGAATAATAACCGATAAACAAACAGTATAGATCCTCCAAAGACCTGATTGGAGAGCATACGCAATATCAGAAGAAGAAGAAAAAGTGTGCATCGTGACATCTTTATGATTTCAAACAGAAATGAGAAAATTAGCTAACATTTAGAGAGAAATAGTTAAACAAAGATGAGAAAAAAGTGCAGACCTTTGAAGAACTGGAAAGAATGATAACACCAATAATGCAGATGATGTGTTTTTGCTTTGATTAGTTCGTTGAAATGAAACCTTTGGTAGAGTTGAAGGAAAAACCAGCAGCCAAACAGTGTGGGAAAAGAAACAAATGGTTGGTAAGAGCAAAAAGACCAGACCGCCGCCTCCCTCCCTTATTATTACCATTATATATGTAATTTGATCCGACGGTAATGGTGCAATCTATTTTTTTGAATTAATCAACAAAGAATTCGAAAACTCTAACTCACGTCTCACCATACCAATTTATTTATTTTTAGTCGTCTCTCATATGACACGAATCCATTAATTTTTATGGTAAAATAATTATTATTATTTTTTGAGGATTTAAATATAAACGTTTAAATATCTAAATGTTGAAAGTTATCTATGAACATATATTGTCTTGTATTTACTTAACGAGATTAATAAAAAAGATAAAGTATATAAATAGTCTCTGAACTTTTAGAGCGCTTACATTTTAATCACTTGACTTTTAAAACTTATAATACAGTTATCGAACTTTTAGTTCGTTTTCATTTTTGTCCCTACCGTTACCTATGTTACTTTTTAGCTGATATGGCAGTTAACCTTCCGTCAACTCTCTTCTCCTTCTCCTCCTCCATCTAAAAACCTTAACCTCCAAAAAAAAAAAATCAAAAACTCAAATGGAGTGAATATTGTCTTGGATCCACAAACGGAAGGAACTTCACTCAGGCTTGTTGAAAATTGGATGAAACGAAAATTGATCCTGAGACTTAGCTGAGGCCTGAATTATTGTTGAACCACAGCTACCATCCTTAGTTAAGGAACCTGGACTAGCTAAAGAGATACTAGTATTCACAAATGGTGTTTCCTGGACCATGATTGCATCTCAATCTTCATTGAAAAAGGTCATGGATGAAGCCTCAAAACTCCTGCAAAAAGATGCTCCCAAGCCAAAGACACTATCGCCACATCCGCAGCCTCTCTACTCTTTTCCCTTCCCTTCCAAATTCAGAACCAACCACCACCTTCACCACCCATGGCCGCCACGAGTTTCAACCCCTCCCCACAGACACCGTGTGGCTGCTCGACTCTCCTTGCACCAAACCATCGTCTCATCTTCTGCTCTTACGGACAATCTTCAACATTACCTGTAAAACCCAAATTCCATGTTTTTTGTTGCGGACACCGCGGGCTACTCCTTGTCTAGCTATTACACTTCTCTTGGTCTCTTTGTCATCTCTGCTGCTGGACTTTGGTCCCTCATCAAACGCTCTGTGAAATCAAAGATATTGCAGAAGATATTCGTAGGGGAAGGAGCTGAGGAAAAGGAACCAAATCCAGTGGCTGCTGAGATTTTATCTTTCTTCACTCGCAAAGATTTCGTGGTCACCGATAGGGAAGAGACTATCGCGTTCGAGGGAATGATGGTTCCAAGCAGAGGACAAGCAGCATTGTTGACATTCTGCACCTACATCAGACTTGCAAGTGTTGCCCTTGTGCTCACCATCACATTTCCAGATGTGGGGAATAACTGGTTCTGGATCACTGTTCTAACTTCTAAGTCCATTGGCAGGACCTTATTCCTGGAAGAAGGCATCAAGGAAGGAGCAGATCAAAGTGAAGATGCTGGTTGCCGACGACGGGACCATGTCCGAGGTTATTGTTCAAGGAGATGATCAGCAAGTAGATCAAATGAGAAAAGAACTAAGCTTAGTGAAAAAGGCATGGTCTATGTAAAGGAAGATGATCCAGGAAGGAGCAGATCAAAGTGAATATGCTGGTTGCCGACGACGGGACCATGTCCGAGGTTGTTGTTCAAGGAAATGATCAGCAAGTAGATCAAATGAGGAAAGAACTAAGCTTAGTGAAAAAGGCATGGTCTATGTAAAGGGCTTATTCGAGAGATGGCAATAGATATGCATTTCTGCTTATATGTATTTTTTTAGGCTTTTAGCCATATATACAGTCTTATGGGAATAGACTCTGTCATCTGTGTTTTCTGCTCTGCAAATTTTGTTTTCTGTTGTCTACTGCAAACGTCAGTGCTGGAAATGTTCAAGAACACAATGGAGCACCATTATTTCAAAAAAAAATCTTAAAAAAAAAATTACGTACTGTTAGATAAGTAATAATATTGAACAACGTCCAAAAGGAAATAATCAAACACAAATTTTCTTTAGGGATAAATAGGCTAAAACAAATGTTTAAGGGATAAATAAGAGAATCATTTTGTGGGGTTATGATTTTTGAGTTTTTGATTTTGTGGAGGATATGATTTTTAATGGGTTGTATATTTGGGTTTTTAATTTTGTAGAGTTTATGATTTTCAATGGAGTTATGATTTTTGGGTTTTTGTTTTTTTGGAGGTTAGGGTTTCATAAGAAGGAGGAGGAGGATGAGAGAGTTGACGGGAGGTTAACTGTCACGTCAATGAAAAACTAATAAAGGTAACGACAAGGGCAAAAATGAAAATAAATTAAAAGTTTGATGACTACATTGTAAATACCAAAAGTTAGGTGACTAAAATACAAGATGCCTAAACGTTTGAGGAATATTTATATACTTTACCCAAAAAATAGCCATCTCTCGTATGTTAATTTTAAGGGTAAATTATGTGTACAGTCACTAACTTAAAAGGGTGGATTTATTTTGATTATCAAATTATAACTTTTGCTAATCAAATCATTTAATTGTTTAAATGATGAAACTCTTAATCATTAGCTGTTAAAGAAAATATTGATTTGATAATTGATTTATATAATAATACATTTAGTCTTCACTACTTATATAATTTATTAATTTAATCTTAGTTTTAATTTAATCAATGAATTTATTTTTCTCATTAAAATTTGATCTTAATTTCAATTTATTTAATTTAAAAGAAAAAGAACTCTTAAATTAAGTGATTGACTTCTCTCAACGAACAATGCTTTTAAACCCCACTTTTTCCAAGTTCATTTTTCTCTATTATTATTTTGTTTTTTTAATTTTTGCGTCGATTAGAAAGATTATTTATTAAATTAAATAAACTGAAATTAGAATAAAATTCTTCCAATTAGATTATAACATGTGTCATCAACCGATTGAAAGATAAATTTTATTAAGTTAAATTAAAACCTAAACTAAAGTGATAAAATGTGTAAGTAATGAGAATAAAAAATATATTTATATAAATTTATTTAATAATCACATCAGTCACTAACAGTTGACAATTAATGATTTGATTAATATTATTTAAATAATTAAATGACTTGATTGACAAAGTTTATACCCACTCTATCCTATTATTTTAATAGTATAAACTATAAAATATATATTTTAAAAATCTTATACTAGTATCAATTAGTTTTCAAATGTATATAAAATTTAGTTATTTAAAAATTTAATAAAATAACTTTAATTGAGACAAAGGAATAATTTAAGGGCAAATTTCGTAAATGGTTATGTAACACCTCCAACCCGTATCCGACCCGGATACGAGTCCGAAGTGTCACATTGACTTTTTAAACATTCATTCGTATAAAATACCATTAAATGTAACACCCCCAACCCGTATCCGACCCGGATACGAGTCCGAAGTGTCACATTGACTTTTTAAACATTCATTCGTATAAAATAGTGGGTAATTTAAAAACTTTGATAACATTTAAATTATTTCAAAACGTGTACAACAGATATCAGAGTTCATACCATTTATATCTTTAGACTACATGCCAACTACACTCTGTAAACAGTACATACATTTTCTGATCTGACATTTGGTAAGGAAAACTGACATGTCTTGCTCCGCATTACCCTTTCCTCTTCTCCAAACCTACGTGTGAAACAATCACACGCTAAGTCGAAGACTTAGTGAGGCATAACGACTTACAATGCACTTCATAACATATATCAATACATGCATGTTCTGTTCTATCATGTTATACCAATTCCATGCATTCTTCATATCATATAAAATCATATCAGATTAATTACAGTAAATACATACAGACACATAATTCATCATTAACAGTTTATCATGTAATCACATACTTTTATTGTTAACCTTTTCAATCAAACACTATACACACACATCATATGGTTCACGTAACACATTTCAAACCACTTATAACCCCATCGTATACATATCACATTCAGTATGCTTGTTTAATCACTTTATTAGCCCATGTACACTAGTGAGAACTTAAGGTATGTGAGTACATTGAGGTTGTGCACACATATGCTGTCACCACAGCTCGATCAATGTCCCGAAGGACCAGTCCATAGATTCCGAAGAACCTAGGTAATCAGTCCATATGTCCCGAAGGACATAGGTAAACAGTCCGTATGTTCCGAAGAACATAGGTAAACAGTCCATATGTCCCGAAGAACATAGGTAAACAGTCCATATGTCCCGAAGAACATAGGTAAACCCTCGACCCTTGGCATGCCAACTATACCCCTAGCTCTCATATCACATAACATGGACATTATCATTTATAACAGTTCACATTACTTATTCATATTCTTTCTCTTATAACCACATAGCTTTTCTTTTCAGTCACGTATCACATGTACGTGTAAACATATATCTAATATCATATGTTACATGTAATCACATAGATCTTATCTCATAACATATACTTGTTTTCACATATATATTTCATATCATTTCACATATACACTTTCATATCACATGCCATATAAGCTCATAGCTTCTTTCACATATACATGTAGTCACATAGCTTCTTTTCATATTCTCATAGGATCACATAGTTCATATATATACATTACATAGCACATACTTCTCGTAACATTTCATTCAAAAGCATGTTAACACATATAATCATGCATACATACAATTCATGTCATTCATATACGTATAATCATATATTCATGCATTCTAACAGAGGAAATAGACTTGTCGCAAGTCCTGTTTCCATTTAGCACCATAAACTAATTAATATGCACTCACCTGGCCTTACTAGTCAATTCCAATCTCTTATCTTTCCCCTTGATCGATCTTACTTGCCAAACGTTCCGGAATTCTTTATGCGTAGAATCTACATAAATGTACATTTCGAGGTAATCATTAGATACCTACACCTTGTAATTGAATACTAGCAACTTAAACGAACTTATTAAACCAATATTAACATTTTTCTTTAGGGGGAATCGGTTCCCTACCATGGGGGTATCGATTCCCTCAAGACATTCTGGAATTCTGTCGTTTGAAGGGGTATCGGTTCCCCTTGAATGGGTACCGATTCCCCTTGCCCAGAAATCATATTTTCAACCCGAAAATTACTTCATTTCCTCTCAAACACTTCATATATCATCCCCTTTTCATTCTTAACTCTAGTACACATACTTAACCCAATCTATATTCATTTATTTCATCTTAAACCTCAAAATCCTATCTTCCATATGAGATTCAAAAATCATACCAAATTTTCAATATGTTCTAAATCCAATTATATCACTCCAAATCTCTTAATTTAACTATTGACAAGTCAAATTTAACTTCAAATTCTACTTATCAATTCCTTTCCAAAATTTCATATAAAAACTCCAAATCTTTAATCTCTCTTAACCCCTCCATCCTTTGTTTTTAAGATGATTTAAGCTTTCCTTAAGCTTAGTTATCATCTAATAATCAAAACCCAACCTTAAAATCAACAATTCATTTACAAACAAAGAAACTTACCTTTGGCTTGCTCCCCCACGTATGAAGAAGAAGAAAGGAGAAGAGCACTCTGGAGAGTTCTCTCCCCTTTTCACGTGTATATCATTCCTTGAATGATCAAATGACCATTTAACCCTTAATTTCCTTTAATAATTACTAAATAACCTTCAATATATATTCAAATAATCATTGAATTATTTCATTCTTCTACTTTAGTCATCAAATTCTGAAACTTTACAATTTGATCACTAACCCGATATTGAGGATGTTACAGGTTATTAATGTTTGAATATTTTTTTCACTAAAGTTTTAAAAGTAACAAATTAATCACTAACTTTTAGACCTGACAAACTTGATCCGAACCCGATTATCCGAACCGATTTACCCAACCCAATACCCAATATTAACCCGAACATGATCAAATGTGATCCAAAACCCGAACCATACCCGATCCAAAATTTAGCTGACTCGATATGGACTCATATCTAATTTGACTCGAATTGAAAGCAATCAGAACCAAAAACAACCATAACCGAAAATAACCTGAACTGAAAGTAATTCAAATCGAATTTAAGTCGAACTGAAAGTAACCCGAACCGAATTTAACCCGATCCAAAAGTAATCCAAACCGAAAATCTATACCATATATACTTCATTGGACTTATAACCGAACTAAGTCTAAATGATAAGATTAACAAACAAGAAACATACTTTTTACAATAATATATCAGTAATTCTATATATATTTGATTAGACTCATAACAAATTCAACCTGGATTGACTTGATCCAAAGGTTGACCCAAACCGAAAATCAACTTATTTGGTATTACCCGATTCGAAAATCAATCGATATGATCAGGGTCGTCTTGTAAATTTTGGTGGCCCTATGCCATAACAGTAAAATATGCCTTTTAAAACTAAAATATTAGATATATAAAGTTCACTAATATTTCAAAATTTATTATAACTATAAAAAAACGTTAAATAGTGGTAAACAATATCTTCATGTAATAAAGTGAAATACAAAGTAAGTTATTCTCTAAATAATGTGGGCCTTGGACTTGAAAATTCTTGGGTCAAACATCCTAAATACACATATATACAAAAAACTTAAAAAAAATTGGAGGCCCTTACAAAAATTGGGCCCTGTGCGGTTGGGCAGCCCGCACAGGCCCAAAACCGACCCTGGATATGATATTGACTTAACCCGAAATATAACCGATTCGATTTTAACCCCACTCAAAAGTCAACTGATATCAATATTGATCCAAATCGAAAAACAATCGATTCGAAAACTTACCCATCCGACCCAATACCTGGTCTGATTTATCATACACCCAAACTAAATCCAATTCAGATCCAACTAGACTCGAATAAAACTAAATCAAATATAATCTAAACCCGAAATAAATGACCCAAACCTGATTTAAATGACCTGTTTGATACCTATACTAATATTATTGATTTGTAATAAATCAATCACTTAATGTTAACATGTGTTAATGTGGTGGGGTGGGGTGGGGGAAGCTTAATTGGTCCGTTGACCACCACGCAAAAGAACCCTTGTGTGGGAAAGCTTAATTGGTCCGTTGACCACCCCGCAAAAGAACCCTGTGTTCAACAGTCACCTATTCTCAAAATAAAAACTCAATTTCTAAACCTAATTTACTCTATTTTCATTAATCATCTCTTTGATTTAAATCTTCAATTTTTGGGGGTTTTGATCCATGGTCTATGCGATTGTGAAGTTAATGGAGTTTGTACACTGGAGAAATGCCCAATTTTGAGATGATTCAAACTCCTCTGCCCATGTCTCTCCTCTTTAGTTTTGAGAGGTCCATTCTTGTAAGCTGTAGATTTACAAGTTTTGAGGTCGTCCGTGCAGTAATCAATCCTACTCTACTCTGCATGTTTATGGGACACCCTCCCATTTGGGAAATGAACAGTGAAAATGACCGGACAACACTAGGCCCTACGGATTTCAGAGTTCCGAAAATAATTAACACCAGAAGGAGGGCTTGAACCTCCGAGGTTAACAGCCACACGCTCTAACCAACTAAGCTATTCCAGCTTTTCACAAAAACAATAATTCAAATTCGTTAATGTACCAGGCTTGGATAAGAACCGTAGAAGACTAACAAACACCCCCTAAAACTTTTACATGCCCTTAATTAGGCCACATATATAACATAAACATAAGTTGATTTGTATTAGTTTTTGGTAATAATAAAAGAAAGCCAAACGAAAAGGATGAAAAGCTGGCAAGGTCAAGACGACATAGAAGGGAAACTAAGAGACTTGTAAGTGGTGAAGCCTCCATCAACAACCAGGTTATGTCCCGTTACATACTTGGCTTCATCCGACGCCAAGTACAATGCCGCCTTCGCCACATCTATCTCTTCACAGTTGGCCCCTTTCAGCTCTCCTGCCCCGTTTATAATCTCTACCACCTTCTCTTTCGGAACATCTCCGTATATCTGGGCTATTTGACGGATCACCATCGGTGTTGGGATCGGAGCAGGTGATATGCAGTTTATTCTCACCCCGGTACGACATAGTTCGCTAGCTACCGACTTAACGATCCCGGGGATCGTGAATTTGGCTATTGAATACGGATGTGGCCCGAGACCACCCATGAGTCCACTTATGCTTGATGTACATAGAATGGACCCCGACCCCGTTGGTACCATTACTCGAGCTGCATGCTTTATTCCGGCCACCATGCCTCGAACGTTGACCTTCATTACCTTGTCGAATTCGTCTAAGTTGAGCTCTGCTATGCTTGGGGGGAATACCTTCCCCGCTATGCCCGCGTTGTTGAACATTATATCGAGCTTTCCGTGATCCTCCATGGCGATTCGTACAGCTTCGGCTACTTGGGACTCGATGGTTACATCACATTGCACGAATCGAACCGAAGGGCCGAGGCCATCGACAGCTTCTCGGCCTACTTGAGTGTCGATGTCTGCAATGATGACATGGGCTCCATTTTTGATAAACTCAAAAGCAGTGGCCTTGCCAAGCCCACTTGCTCCCCCTGTGATTAAGGCTACTTTGCCTCGTAACCTGTTTTGTTCTCAAACGAATCAAGACAAAAATCTAAGCAGAAAGGAGGGAAACGAGGAACGAAACATGAGAGAGGTCGTTGCCTTGTATGAACAAATAGGTAAACACAATGTGTCTGCTCTGTTTCATCATCATGTTAAAGAAACCAATGAAGCTCGGCCAAATAACAAAACATGGACATAAAACAAAAGAACCCTAAATTATGACAGATGTTCAGTTTGCTTGCCTTGAATCCATTTTCCTCGGGAAACATGGTTTCCTAGATCAAAGGGGCGATCCATGAAAAACAACAATAATCTCCATAAATCACGCTTGCGAATCGCAGTAAACTAACAAGAAAAAGCCACCATTGAATCTTTTTCAAGTGAAAAAAGTCAAGTACCCATGTGTATAGCTACTAAAGCTATTCTGGGTAACTGTCATTTCATTGGCAAACAAATTAAATTGTTCTTTTTGGTTTCAGAAATCCAGGTGGTCTTTTATTGTTGTCCAATCAGGAGAGCTAAACACTGACAAAAAGAGAAGAAGAGAAGTAGGTGAAGGAAGTCATCATTGATGAGTAGCTTATACTACCTCTGTGTGGAAGAACCATCTGGTATTGCAGAGTAAAACCTACTTGATAAGCCATTGGCAGCAAACTTGAACCGCCTGGTAAAGAATCAACACAGAAGAGAGAAATTAAACAAGGGAATTAAGGTTAGTTGAAGGAATAGTAATAATATACCTGGCTACAGATCTAAGCATGCTGAGGAAGCTTAAGGGGAGTATAATATTGAAGAATTCTTGGATGGATGTATGGATCTGGGGATGAAGAGGAGGAAAGCGTTGTTGCAGTTGAAGTTGAGAGTGACACACATTTCCATGCAGAGGGAGCTCAACATGATTTATACCACTTATGACCTGTCCTATTTAATGATGCTTGTAATCAAAACAAAACTGGTTATACGGATCAAGATAATTATCTTTATGTAGGTCAGGTTTAATGCCAAAGCTGCTTTTACTGCCATAGTGTTGGACAGCAATAAAACTAAGTATGGTAAGATAATTATTTTTTTTAAAGTATCTGTGTCTTAACATTTTATTTCAAGCAAAATATTTATAAACGAGATGAAAATCGTTAATCGATTAATGGTAGTATTGTTGTGGTTATTGTAATAAGTACTATTTATCTAAAATGATAATGTAATATTTTATATCAACAATTTAGACATGTAATAATATCACGTCATCACATTCGACACATGATAAATATTATATAATGTAATAATTAAAGATGATACATTAATGCTCTTGATTAATATGAGAGGCGAGAGGGTAGCCAGCTGTAGATGAAATTGATGTAAATAATTGATAGGGAATATATTATTAATATGATGCGAAAGTTTTGGATTCTCATTCGTCACTTAGTCAATGATGCTAGTTTATTGGTGTAATGAGACCGACTTGTTTCACATTATATCTCATTTGTTGTTGGGATGTTTCAGGTACAATAGTTTTAATATAGGTTAAGAAAATATATTATCAGAATTATTATTATTATTTTAATATTTTGATAAAATGTTATATAAAACATTATTTTTTTTACTGAAAATGTTAATATGAGACGCTATTTAAAATGTTTAATATTTCAGTAAAGTACTACCTAAAACATTATTTTTTCTATTGGAAATGTTAATATTGGGTTATATCGAAAATTAGTTAGCGAAAATAGTATTTTCGGTAAAAAAATAATGTTTTATATAACGTTTTACTGGAAATGTTAAAAAAAATAAATTTTGATAAAATATTTTTTTAACTGTATATTAAAAAAAATATTTTTTTCGGTAAACTACTATGGTTGCTTTCCTTTGACCATTTGGTATTTGGGGTTGAATGAAGGCATCCCCTATATGATTAAAGCCACAAAAAGAGAATGGAGGAGCTTTTTAAAAGATTACCCAAAGCCTATGCCCATGCCTATGCCTATCGAGTATAGTCAGCATACCACTTTATATTGTGACTAAACTATACGTTTAGTACTCCAATTATTATTTTTATTCTATTTTGATCACCTAATTTTTTTAAAATAATATTCATTATTATGTTTTAGTTTCATTTTAGTCACATTTCATTAAAAAATTAATAAAACTACTGACGTAAAATTTTCAGTTTTTTTAATTATGGCATGTCATTACTTATGATGACACACCTATATCAATGTTAATTTTTTAACGATAGGTGACCAAAATGAAATCAAAATTAAATGTTAGACACTATTTAAAAAAAATCGGATGGCCAAAACATAATAAAAGTGATATAAGGTAAATAGTTTAAAGACAGCTGAATTTTTATTTTTTAATATTACGTAATGATTATTGTTTTAAAAAAATTAATCATTGACAACGTAAACACACACCCTATAGATTCATCTATTTGGATTTGAATCTTTTGGTAAGAACGTAATTTTTTTATTACTGAGTTTACTTGATAGATTTAAATTGACAAATCAATTAAAAGAAAAGGAATATGAGGATCTCCCAATTCCAAAATCCCAGACTGCATATGCTCCGAGAGCTGTCGACTGTTGCAGTCGAGTGTCGACGGCTCTTTACTAAACAATGGATTGAATAACAAAATTATATGTAAAAACAGCATTGATTAGAGTGATAGATGCAAATTATTGGGTGATTAAAGGAATAACAAGATTGTCATCTTATTAGGATCTTTTTGTGGAGACAACGCCCAGACAATTTCATCACCTTACAACCTGTGCTGTTTCTTGTCTCTTGTAACACGTACTTACAAGTAATAAACAATCAACTTCCTTTTTCTTTGATGTAGTTAACAACGTAGAACCCTTGCTTGGTGGCTTGAATCGCTAATTGTTTATTCTACTGACCAGCAAGCTGGTGATATTTATAGACAAGCATGCAGCATGGGCATTTCATCAGTTTAGTTAGGCAGAAATGTTGGATTAGTGGACGAGTTGATCTGAGAATACTATATTTGTGTGGTATGGTCAGGTTTTTCACGTGGAAGCATGTGGTGTTGCGCAGGACATATCCAATCAATGGCTGCTAAACAGTGTTCCATCTGACACTGGATCCGTGGCAGCGGCTGGTTCGTGAATGGAGTTCCGTACCCCCAGCCCAAGGGACACTTTTATGGAATCTCCTCATGCAATAGCAATAGCATGAGCATCTCAACTTTTTTTTTCTTTTTATTACTATTATTTTCTGATGGGGCCTACAAGATCGACGAATTATTAATAAATTGGGCTTTGTATTATGCCCTTGGAGATGTCGATATTATTTGGGCTTTCCAATTGCTGTGGCAGATTCAACCGTTTTTTGGCCCAATAGGTATATCTATTGACGACGTTCGGTGACGATCCATAATTTTCACAAATAGAATGGTGGAATAGATGAATTTAACTTAGATCAGTTGCTTGAAAATTAACTCTAAAGACAAAATTATATGGCCTTTAATGACACTAAGTCTATAACATGTTCTTCTTGATGAGCTTAAGAAATCTTGAAATCGAATTCTCAGTGAAGTTAATGAGATACTAATGCATGGTAATTTTAATATTCCTAAGGGCACTCCGTTGAAAGTAGTGAGCTGATAATCTTCGGAGGTAAGTCTGAAGAAGCTGTGGAGGTAAGTCCAAGCTTTATGAAGTGAGTTTCATTCAAGTTGTCAGTCGAAGACTTTCTGACACTTGAATCCTCTAATAAGAGGTATCCTGCTAAAGTAATGGGTCAAAGAGGTAATATTGAGAGCCTTAACTTTATGAATGGGATTACATTCAGATCATGACACCAAAGTTAATTAAATATAATTTAAGAAAGGCGGTAAGGTCTAAAGTTTGAATTGAGAATGAGTTTCGATTGAAGGTGGACTAAGAGAGTTAAGAAACATCTGTTATAGTCAGCTATACACAAGCACTCATGAATTCTATTTTTAGATCGATGTTTCTGCATTACCTATGTTAAAAAAAGTCTATGGAGCTTGAACAAATGATATATTTCTAAGAACTAAAACATAAATATAAGAAGTTTAGCAATTGAATGTACTAGTTGTGCCATTATGATCGCTTCTTATTTGAAGGTTAATACATTTCAAAAATTCACAAGGACTGAGTCAACGAACATCTTGATGATGAAAACCTGAAAAAACATGAGATAAAGTCGAACCAAATTGCATTGCCTTCCCAAATCAACTCATCGATTTTGACACTTGTTAAAGGGCTATAATTTTTGAAAAATTAGAATGAGTGATTTGTTTATTAGATATTCAGTGATTGATATTTTGCTTCAATTGTGAGTCTAAATGGACATCATTTTGCTTTATAAATCTTTACATCATTTTGCCTTCCCAAATCTTTACATCATTTTGCTTCAATTGTGATTTGTTTTTATTTTGTATCTTTATTTTTTTATGTTTTGTTTTTTAGTCAATTTTAATCTTACTTTTTAACAATTCCATCGGAGGAAAGAACCGTTGAACAAAAAAATATTTTCGAATAGATTTTCTTAAATCTATAATTCCTTACAGTTTATCAAGGAAACCCTAATATTTTTCTTTTAATTCTTATCCTTTTTATTTTAGTTTTTTATATTATATATTTATGTTATTAACATTATTTATGTTATATATATATATACAATCTTTACACGTGATGTTTTTACATATACTTCTATTTATTTTGGTATATCATTTATTATTAAGATATAAATATATGATTTTATCGACAGTGGTTGATTCAAGTAGTAAGCAGCTTGATATCGTTTAAGCAAGATCTCGAGTTCAAGTTCTTGTGTATGTAGAAAATCCCTGCTGGGAGACCACCCACCCAAACCAGGTTTGTGACGCGGATTGGTACAGAAGGAACTAGGAGTACAACCAAAAAAAGATATAAATATATGTTTTTATATTATTATATTTATTGTAATCATATCATATATTATATTATATACACATTTTTTACATGTTTTATTTTTATTCAAGTCATATTTACTTTTCATTTATATCATTTATTATTTATTATTTTTCTTTCATATTTGTACTTTTATTATTTTCTTTATTTTATATTTAATATTTTATTATTTTTGATAATTTTAGGATTTATATCTTTTCGTATTTATTTTTCATATCTTTTGGATTTATCATTTATATTTTTAATTACTTGCTTATTCTATTTATGTCTTTAATTTTGATTCTTTGTACTATGATTTTAGTTTTAATTGAATTGATCTTTTGAATTGTTTCCTTAATTTTTGTAATTAGTTTTCATGAGGTATATCGTTTGATTCCATGACATTTTTATTCATTTGAAAACATAATACATAACTAGGCCTCTTCATAGTTATTTAAAAGTAATATTATTTATTTATTTTAAATTATCGAAAATAGTTATTCTAACTCACTTGGTAGTCTGATTTTGGTAATTTCAAGTACATAAATGTCCTTAAGTGAAACCAATTTAAAGGACAACACTCTAAAATTAATTAGGAGGGTAGAAAGAAAAAATGTTTCTATATTTAGATTTAACGAGGATAGACATTTCGACCTTATTCTATGTCTAGTCTCGATACTTATAAACATTTGAATATCATCTATCTATCTTAAAGGCTGTAATTCTTATTAATAAAATATTTATTTGTTGTATGTGAATAAATACAATGTTTAACCGTAAAATGATAATTTTTCTTATTTCTTTATAGGAATGAGAAAATCAATGTTATACTTTATATCATATGGTATTTCTCGTCGGTTTAAAATGTTGAAGTGTTTTCAATTTACTTTAAATTCTTGAGAAGAAATATTAGTAATTCACTGCTTTGGTTAGAAAAGAGAGGGATGTCGTAATACTTCATAGTAG